TTGAGGCTAAGTGAGGATGTTAGCTCAGAAACCAAATATGTGTTCCTGCTGAAAAACAGGAAACCTAACCAGAATGACAATAATGCCTTAAAGGGAATGAAATGATAGAAATCCAGGCAATGTCAGAAATTATGGTCAGGGACAGAAAAATCATATAATGAACCAGGTCTCATCAGAAGAGAAGGATGGTTCAAATTAAGGCTGAGAAGAGTACCTTTCAATTCTATTAATGGCAAATCATTGTCAGAATTCATAGACATTGAGATGAAAACCCAACTTCTGCCACAGAACCAAAGAAACAATAGAATTTTTCAATCCCCTCTACCTAAAACACAGGTCAATCAAACCAAAAACAGTACCGGAACTCTGATTAAACAGGACCTAATTTCACTAGTTTAGTGGTCTCCTTGTTAAGATCCAACTGGAGGAAAATCACTCCTTTCTGGAACTAGTCATTCAATATAATAATAGTTGAGACCACTCCATGTTGGCCCCACTAAACACGATAACACTAGACACAGTAAGAGAAAATGAGAAAACCCTCCCGAACTAGACTTGAATAAACAGTTTTGGAGATCCTGAAACCCTAGGTTGGGAAATATACAGAAAGTTAAAAATTGCAAATTGATCCAAAGAAATTTAAAGAGTAATTGGTATCCCAGGTTCAAACAAAACAATAATTAGAATGGATGTGTTAGTTAAAAATTTTGCACTGTGGCAAAAAAAAAAAAAGAAAGTTGATATCAGGTTACTAGTAGGAAATGCCTTATGGGACCTAATTGTTTTTTCTGCCCCAAGTCAGGTAGTAAACATTTCTCAAAGTATAATTAAAGGAGGAGATTAGGAAATGGAGGCATTCCTAAAGGGTTTAGAACAGGAAGCTGTAATTTGGAAAACAATTAGCTCTTATAAAGTTCCAGTCTGCCCAGTGAAAAAGACTAGTAGAGAGTGGAGATTCATAGTAAACTATAGAAAACTAGATGCTAAAACCAGACCTATCAATTGATCCCTCTCTAACATTTTGGAAATGATTGATGAAATTAAAGGACGTGATGGACCTTGATTTTCAGTTATTGATCTAAATAAATATGTTATTTGTGGTCCCAGGGGCTAAAGAAAGTCAAGGGAAATTGGCCTTTATAGGCAAGAGTAGATTGCTGCAAGGATATGTTAATAGTCCAGTGTTATGCATAATTTGTGCAAACAACACTTAGATATCATTAACCCAGGCAACTTTGTCCAGAATTACATGGAAGACATATTAATTAGGGGGCACAACAAATAAGAGTAGAGGAAGTCACTGATATGATTATTGAAGGCCTAGATAATAAACATAGGCAGTTACCCTGCAAAAGGTACAGAGAGGGCCATCATCAGTTAAATTCCCTGAGGATGATTTGAACTTCAGAAGGAATTTCTATTCCCCAACAAGTGATAAAGATCTTTGTCTTACTAGGGGAAGGAAAAGGGAACAAGCATTTATTATGTACCTACTATGTGTTGAGTATTTTACAAATATCTCATTTGATCTTCACAATGACCCTCAGTGTTCCCTATAAAAAATAATGTTTTTGTTCTCCCCATTTTATTGCTTGAGGAAGCAGACAGGAGTTAAATGACTGGCCCAGCTAATAAGTACCTAAGTCTGGATTTGAACTCAGTTCTTCCTGACTCCAGGCCCAGTGTTCTACCTAGTTCTACCCACTGCACTACCTAGAAATTTACTATCACCACAGGACAAGAAGAAAGTACAGAGAATAGTTAGATAGTTTGGTTTCTGGAGAAACCACATTTCTCAGGTATGATATATGAGGTTACAAGGAAATCAAAATGTTTTGAATGGGGTCCACAACAATAGCATTCATTAGAACAGGTAAAAGAGGCTATGCAACAAGTTATACCTCTAGTCTCAATTTCCTCAGACCCCTCCTCTAGGTTAGAAGTCAGCTATGAAGGAGACTTTATGACTTGGCGTTTGTAAGGAGGAGAATGAGAAGGCTTATATGCCAGTTATGCTTTGGACTCAAAAAATGATTGGTCCTCAGACTAGATACACCATTATGGAAAAAATATCCCCATCAGTATATTATGGAAAGCAAAGGCTTGACCCAAGGTGTACTGCTGCTGCTATCAACACCAATTCCTACACTAGCATGAGCCAAAATCACCTCTGATAAACATGTTGAAATAACCACCACCACACAGTCAGTGTTTAGGTGGAAATGGCTTATAATCAATAGACCGAGTGCTGGGGAAACAGGGACAAGTCATCTTCATGAGGAAATAGTTGCCCATACTGTTGACATGCCAACTAAGTTTCATAAAAGTAAGATATCACAAGAGTAAGCAACCACCTTCCCAAGTGTTCTCTGACTTGTCAAAAGCTGAAAGACAAAAGCAATGCATAGTTCACCCAGAAGTCATTAAATGGTGAGCAGCTGCCTTCAGCCCATTCATTGAGGAATAAGTGGTTAAAGAATGAGAAGGAAATTCAGCCCAATATGCTGAATTGAGGGTGAGGTAGTTGGTTAAGCCACTAGGGAAAACTGCAATAATATTATAATGTATACTTATTCTTTGGCTGTCATTTAATGGATTGGTTATTTGGTCAGCTAAATAGAGGGCTTTAAACAAAGTGGAGTTGGTTATACTTAAACATTCTTACTACACCAAGAAACTTCAGTTTTCCAGGCAGGATTTCCTTCCTTAGAGACCATTTTTCCTGACTGTCTTATGGTTAAGTTGAAATAATAATGATGTAAATCCGGTTTGATACTGCAATAGTTCCTGCAATTTGATTGTAGATGAGTTTGCCCCCAGGTCAGCCAAAAGAGAATTTCTAAGGAAAAAAGTTCTTGGAAATCTTTCCTCTGAAATGAAAGGATGTTCCAGAAGAACATTTGCACATTATGATGTTTGCTTTCATGATCTGATATTTTCATTATTTTTCATAGTGCCAAGCACGATCTAGATCAATGGCCCTTTCAAAAGCCATTTCAGTCTATCAAAACGTTTGTCCTTTGTCATTATTATAAAGAAATATTATCTAATTCCAAAAGTACAAAATTTACCATTTCAGTATTTTCAAGACTACATTTGGATCCAGCAGCATCTTAAGGACTTATTAGTAGGTTCAAAATATTGTTCTAATGTTTCCAATGTTATTTATAAAGCTTGCCATCTGTGACCTTCCTATTTCCTATTCAATACAACATCAATCAATTAAAAAACAAGTATTAAGTGCCTACTGTCTTCCAGGCACTGTTCTAGGTGCTGGGGATACAAATACAAAATAAGACAGACCTTGCCTTTGAAAAGCTTACATTCTACAAAGGGCACACAACATATTAATAGATAAATACAGACTATACAAAACAAATACACAGTAAGGGTAAAAGGTGATAATAAGCAGAGGAATCAGAAAAGACTTCTTGAAGGACGTAGAACTTGAGCTTGCCATTGAAGAGTTAGAGATTCCAAGAGGAGGAAGTGAGGAAGAAGAGAATTCCAGGCATGGGGGACAAACTGCTCAAAGGCCTAGAAATAGGAAATGGAAAGCTATGTGGAAGGAACAGTAAACATGTCAGTTTGGCTGGAATGTAGACTGCCTCAGGGCAGTGAGGTAGGGGGAATAATGTGTAATCAGCCTGTAAAGATAGGCAGGCAGCACATTGTAAAGAGATTTAAATGCCAAACAAGCAACAAGAAGTTATCAAAGTTTCTTTAGAAGAAGAATGATATAATCATGTCTGTGCCTTAGGAAAACCACTTTGGCAGCTATGCAAAAGACATATTGGAAAAAGAGAGACTGGTTTCAGGGATATCAATTGGGAGGCTATTGCAAGAAGTGGAGGGGTCATGGGCTGCCTCGTTGTGGTATGAAGAGAGAGGAGAGTGCAGTTGTGAAAGATGTTGAGGAAGTGGAATCAACAACACTTGGCAATTGGTTGAATATAGGAAGGAATGAGAATGAAAAGTCAAGATTGCATTCTAGCTTGTGAAGAGAAGAACAGTTGTACTCTTGACCAAAATAAGAAGTTAAGAAGCCAGGGATGGGCTCAAGAGCAAATATAGTGAATTTTGTTTAATCATGTTGAGTTTGAGATGACAATGGGAAATATAGGTCGAAACATTAAGTGCACAGTTGATGATGCCTTTATAGAACCAAAAAAAAAAAATAGATACAAGACCTGAATACGTAGATTTGAGAGTCATCTGCAAAGAAATTATAGAAGAATCTATGGAAACAAGATTACCAAGTGAGAGTATCGAGAGAAAAGAAGAGAGGGCCCAGGACAAAGCCTTAAAGTACACTCATGAATAGAATCCTAGATTTTGGAATGGAAGACACTTTAGAAATTACCTTGTACAACTATCTCATTTTACAAATGAGGAAACTGAAGCCCATGTAAAATTACTTTTCTAAGGTTACACAGGGGGAGGGAGGTGGCAGATATCAAGAAACAGAGTAAGGATTAGAACCAGATCCTTTGACTCCCAATACAGTGTCCTTGATAGCAAATCCAGGATACTCTTAACAGACATTGGGGAGCACTTCGCTCCAATAAAAACCCAGAAATTTGTAGTTTTCTTCATATACTAAGAACATTTCTATAAAATTCATTCTTTTTTCTTCCCCACAACAAACTCTTTCTTATTAAGAAATATTATAAACTCAACATTAAAATAAAATGTTTAATCCCCAGACAGTAGATTTTATAGGAAAGTACCTAACATAATCTTTTTCATATTACTTCCCTACAACCTGTTTGGTGCTTGATTGCCAAAGTGGTAACAAAATAGTATCTCACAAACTTTGGCCTATTGAGGGCTCCATTGGCATTTTTTTAGGGACCAGAGGGCTTTATCTATATTTCACAATACAAAGGTGGTTGCAATTATCCGTAGGAGGTCCAGCCCACAGACTATAGATCTCAGTAGTGACTAGGGATATAAGAGCATCTTATGTTGAAGCCTGTCTTCTCTTGGTAGTACAACTCCACCAACGACAGGCAAGTTCCTGTGAACAATCTTGAAGAATTCTAGGGGCTACATTTAGGTTCTTCTGTTGCATGCCATATGTGGCTCTCTGTTACACCTTTTAGTTCTAAAGAAAACTGAAGCCAAAGAAGCAAGGCAGGAAGGTAAGGAGAAAACAACAAATTAAGGTTATATTTCTCTGAAACTCGTAGGAAAGAGATGAGACTGCCAATCTGAAGCAATCTTAGAACAAGAAAATGTGTCTTTACTTTCTTGTTCTAGAATTTCCATTCAGCAAAGTCCTAAATCTCTGCAGAAATACAAATTATATTGATGTCCATTTCTTCAAAGTCAAATAGAGAAATTTGTCAGTTTCACACTGGAATGACAAGAGATTCTGGACTCAACTTTCCATTGGAAAGTACAAGCCAAATAATTTTGGCAAGGTGTTTGAATGAAGAGGATTCTTTTGGTATTGCATATGCATAATGTGGAATGCTAAATCATTTGCAGAGGGAATGTTGATTATTACTTACCTTAGAAATTCATTTCTGTCTTGAGTATGTGCTGTAACCAAGAGTTGCTATTGCAGGTGTAGCATCAGATGTTTTTACATATGAGGCAAATGTGTCATTAAAAACAAACCCATGAAGGATCATATTCCAGGATAGAATGTAGTGTTTCAAATACATCCGTTAAGTTTGATGGTTTAGTTTGATAAGATTTGTTAGAAAGAAGGTGGGCTAAACATTTCCTGTCTTTGTGCCTCAACTTCTTACCTGTATCAAGTATATAAGACCTTTACCTGCCAAAGTGACATATTGCTTAGATCATATATTTGAAGGGACTTCAGAATTCATCTAGCCTTATTTTACAGATGAAGAAACTGAAGTCCAGAAAGTTTAAGTGACTTGTCCAGGATTACACGAGTACTTTAGAATGGTGTTTAAAAGCATCTTATGATTCTTAATTTTGCTATTTACAATTCAGATCAACATTAACAAAATACTATAAAGACTTTTATCATTAAGCAATGTAACTGAAGGTGTTAGTATAATAAGTGAACAATGTTTATTTGGTAACAAAGGAGCCACAGTTTGCAGTAACAGGAGAGTTACCTAGTAGATTAGAGAATAGCAAAGCACCATAGTAAGGTGCCAGTATTTTTACAATGGGATGCCAGAATAAAGAGATTTTGGATGGTAGATTGATTTCATGTTCTGTAGGAATATAATGAATGGAACATTGGTCATATCACTTCAGTCTCTGGTAAAAAGGTGGCCCCTTCTCCTTGCAAAAATCTGCCCCCTCTTTATCCTTTTTCCTTTGGCATATTGCCCCTACCATCATCCTCTCCCCCTACTCCCATTTTCATTCTCTTTCTATTCACTAGCTCCTTCCCTAGTGCCCACAAACATGCTCATCTACTGAATCCTTAAAATCAACCCTTGTTATCTAATATATCTTTCCCCTTTTACAGACAAATTCTGTGAGAAAACTGTCTATAATCCTTGTATCTACTTCTCTCATTCATTTCTCAGCCCCTTGCAATATAACCTCTAACCTTAGCACTCAACAAAAACTGCTCTCTCCATATTTACTATGAATTTTTTTAACTGCCAAATTCAAAGTCCTTTTCCCCATCTTCATACTCCATGACATCCATGCAAAATTTGACACTTCATCATCCTCTTGCCTCCAGCTTTTCATGACACTCGTCTGTCTTGGTTTTCTTCCTACCTGTCCGACTGTTCCTTCTCTCAGTCTCCTTTGCTAGGTCATCATCCATGTCCCACCCCTATTACCCCTCCCCCTCAGTTCCTGACTATAGGTTATCCAGTGTGTTATGGTCTATATGCTCTTTTCTCTTTATATTCCATTTGTTTGTTATTCCATCAATTCCCATGATTGCAATTATCAGCTCTATATTGATGACTTCCAGATCTTCATATCCAGCCCTAGTCTGTCTTCTGAGAGACTACACTACATCACAAATTGCTTTTTTGGACATGTTTAAACTATCTTCTTGTCCTGTAGCTATCTCAAACTCAACATGCCCAAAACAGATTGTATTGTCTTTCTCCCCAATCTCACCTCTATTTTTGTCAAGAGTATAGCAATCATCCAGGTTTGCAACCACTATACTCTCCCTTATTTCTATATCTAATCAGTTGCTTAGTCTTGTCAATTCTACCTCTATAACATCTCTTGCATTACTGTCCTTCTCTCCAATCACAAGGCTATCACCCTTGTCACATCCCTCCTGAACTATTGTGGTAGCTTCCTGATTTTTCTCCTTGACTCAAGCCTCTCCCTTTTCCATTCTATCTTTCAAATATGTTATTCCTGAAGCACAAATCTAATCATATTACTCCCTGCTTCAAAAGCTCAAATGATTTCCTGTTACCTTAAGCATAAAATACATGTTCCTCTGTTTGGCATTTAAAGTCTCTTTACGTATGGCAGTTTGGGCAGGTGGTGCAGTGGATAGGGCACTGGGCTGGGAACAAGGAAGACTCATCTTCATAAGTTCAAATCCAGCGTCACACTGTGTAAACCTGGGCAGGTCACTTAACTGCTTACCTCAGTTCCTCATCTGTAAAATGAATTGGAAAAAAAAAATGGCAACAGTATCTTTGCCAAGAAAACCCCAAATAGGGTCACAAAGAGTTAGACATGACTAAACAACAAAAACAATATTGCTTTAGCCTACTTATTAAGGCTGGATACACATCACTCCCATTCACACACTCTTTGTTACAACAACACTGACCTACTTTCTATGTCTCATATATAACGTTCTTCTGCTTTGGAATAGGCTTTTTCCTTTGCTACAAATGTATTCCCTTCTTACCTCTAGCTCTCTAGCTTCCTTCAGAGGTCAGTTCAACTGCAAGCTCCTACAAGAGACCTCTCCTGATGCCCCACCTAAGTTTTTAGATTCCCTTCCCCTCAAAACAAAGTTCCCCTGTAATATATATGTGTGTACATATTCCTGTATAGATGTATTTTAAGGGGTAGCTGGTGGTGCAGTGTATAGATAGAGCACCGGACCTGGAGTCAGGAAGAAGAGTCTTCCTGAGTTCAAATCTGGCCTCAGACACTAGCTGTGTGACCCCAGGCAAGTCATGTTTGTTTCAGTTCCTCATCTGTAAAATGAGCTAGAAAAGGAAATGGCAAACCACTCCAGTATCTTTGTCAAGAAAACCCTAAATGGGGTCATAAAGAGTTGGACACAACTGAAGCAAATGAACAACAATGTATTTTATATGTATGTATACATTTTATGTATGCATATCTATATTTATATATGTATATGTATATACTATATAATGGTAAGAGCAATCTGCCAAAGAAAAACGTTTCTCTGTTCTATTGAGGGACTTTTTCCTTTGGCTGATTGACCTTACCATTATATTCTTCCTTTTTCACTTTCATTTTGCTTATATGTATAACTGTCATTTTCCCTTCCTTAAGAGAAGGAACTGTTTCATTGTTTTTGTTTTTGTATTTCCAGCACCCATCAATGCATATTGATTGATTGATTGGTACCAATTTCAGACATGATAGACAGTAGGACACAGAGCACCTATGGAAGCTTCTAATAAAATCCTGAGTGGGAAGTCAAGAAGCATTTTTATTTTCACATGAAGTAGAGTTGCCAAAGTTTTGTGAAACAGTTAAGTCCCTTTGATATGCCTCTAGGCACCCAAAGGCCACACCTGGCTCCCTCTCATAGAACTGATTCCAGCTTTCCTTATTTCCAAATGAAAGGGGTATCAGATTGAGGTAAAAGGGCAGGTTTGTCATGCTATTCAACTTGGAAACTCTACCTAATTTGCTTTAGAATATTTTCTTTTTGTACCTGTGAGTTTTTAAGTGAGAAACTAAATACTGTTCTCTCTCTTTTGTTCTTTTGTGACTCCAAATTTCCACCCTAGATTGAATTTGAGCTATATAAAAGTTGGAGGTATTTGGGCTGGAGAAGGGAGATGATTGAAAAGGAGAGAAGGGGAAGTGATACTAATTTATAAAGTGATTTCTCTTCCCCACCTTCTTGTAGTAGGAGGTTGGCCATGATTGGGTAGGGGTTCTATCCAACACCTTACACATCCATTACTTTAAGTAGAAAGGGAAAAGTCTGCCTTAGAATACTGTTAACTTCTATTCCCTTCAGCAATACCAAGCTGATTGGATGCCTTGGGACTTCTGGGCTTTTGCTGGATTTAGGATCAGTATCTTGGGTTTTCTGATGTGATAATCAAAAAGGTGGGAGGGTGTTAACTTTTATACTCTTTGTATCCTTTTAAACTGTATTCTTCTCATTCTCAGCATAGTAGAAAGAGAACTGACCTCAAAGTAAAAAAGACTTGGGTTTAACTCTTGACACCTTCTGGCTATGTACCTCTAGGCAAGTCACTTCATCTCGCTGTGCTGAGGACAGCTCTCTAAAACTGTAAGTTGTTGAGAAGGTACCAACCTGCATTGATAGAGGGAATTTCCATACTTGGGAATTATTTACACCAGATTAAATCACAGATCTGTTCTCTATCCCAGACCCATTTCTATCTCTAAAGTGATTAGATAGATAGATAGATAGATAGATAGATAGATAGAAAACGAGTAGATTGATAGACCTCAAGGAACTTATATTCTTTTTTATTTTGTTTTGAGTCAATTAGGATTAAGTGATTTGCCCAGGATCACACAGCTACTAAGTGTCTGAGGATTTGAACTCAGGTCCTCCTTACTCCAGGGCCAATGCTCTATCATCTAGTTGCCCCAGGAACTTACATTTTAATGGGGGAGTCAAACTATAAAGGGGAAGAGTAAAATGTGAAGGGGGCAGAGTCAGACAAAGAGAGTAAAGAGAGCAGCATGGCTGTGGCCCTCAACCAATGGCAATCCCCATCAGAGACTCACTAATCAGGAAAGCAGGCTTTAAGTCAGAATCATTAAGATGCAGACAAGCTGGTGGATAGGTATAACAAGCGGGAGATAAAATTGAACTGGAAGTGATTTTTAGCTGGATTTTATAATCCACAATTGCTGAATTTTAAACATCACCTGGCTCTTATTAAATCTATGGAAAAGATTAAATCTATGGAAAAGATCACCAACACAGAGAAAATCAGAACAAATAGACATTGCTGTATTAGACAATTAGCAGAAGAGTGAGCTTTTGATTTTTTTTTAAATCATGCTTTGAAGTCATAGAACTGTTTAACAGATTTGTTGACTACCCAGGTAAAGAGGTCAGTGTTAAAGAAGACAGGAACTAATAGGCCACATGTATATTATAGGCTCCATGATGTTTAACCCGGAGGTTTCTCTGGAGAATGCTTTGGCAGTTAGGTGGTACAGGGGAACTTTAGTGCTGAGCCTCAAGTCAGGAAGCCTACCTCAGACCCTTGGCAAGTCACTTAACTTCTGCCTGCCTCAGTTTCTTCAACTGTAAAATAGGAATAATAATAATGCCATTCTTCCAGGTTGTTGTAAGGATCAAATGATTTATAATATTTGTAAAATACTTAGCACAGTTCCTGGCACATAGTAGGTGCTGCCCTGGAAACCATTCCTAAGCACAAGTCACTTGCTCGGTCTACACTGAGGTACCAACAGCATAGCTGCTGATTGGCACCTGTTCCCACTCTTTGTATAGTATCAGGACTCTCTGTCCTAGATTTGGAATATCTTTTTGCCTTAGAGCACAATTGCAGGCCCCAATTCCGTCTGTGCAGTGGAAGGCTTTGTATAGGACCTTTGTGGTTATGCCCCTTTTCCTGTGTCTGCAGAGCTCTGTCTTCCCAGTTTGACCTTTGTTGAAAAAATACTGAGACTTTTCCTTAAGTTTCCCAATGAGAACTCAATCTAGCATTTTTCTGGGTCCTTGTGGACTAGTTATGGGGAGAGGAAAGAGTGCAGCAGGTCTACACCGCCTCCTCCTACTCTACTATCTTGGCTTGTTTCCCCTAAGCTCTTTTAGCTAATATCAATCTTAAGCCTAAAAACTGGAAATTGAGGGGATATCCATCAATTAGCTGAACAAGTTGTGGTATATGGTTGTGATGGAGCACTGGATGGAATATTGTGCTATAAGAAATGACAAGCAGGATGGTTTCAGAAAAACTGGGAAGACTTACATGAAATGATACAAAGTGAAGTGAGCAGTACCAGGAGAACATTGTACATAGTAACAGCAATATTGTACAGCGATCAATGGTGAATGACAGTTATTTAATCATCCAAGACAATTCCAAAGGACTTATGGTGAAAATGCTATCTGCCTTCAGAGAAAGAACTGATTGATTCTGGATTCAGATTGAAGCACAATTTTTTCACTTTCTTTAAAAACAAAAACAAAAACAAAAATAAAACCTTAAGCCTGTGGAGTTTTCCAGATCTGCTCCCTTGGCTAGACAGAATGACATTTTTGGTGAAAAGCAGATTCCTTTAAACCTGGGATCTGCACAGCTATTTAGGTCTTGTTCTCCTTAGACTTTGAGAAATTTTCCCTTCTTGAGACACAGAAGGCAATAAAAGGAAACACAGGGAAGTTCCTGAGGGGTTTGCCCTCTCTCTCAAGCTGAAGATGGCCCTAGAGAGCAAGTTCCCATTGTTTTTCCCATTGTTCTTTCTCCAATCATCTGTTTTCCTTCTATCTGATTAATTCCCTACATGTCAACTAGTTTTAGCTGCGCTCAGCTGTCTTCTACTCAGCTTACCTTTATTAACCTTCTCTCAGTTTCTCTTCTCCTGAATTCTCAATTTGGAAGGTTTTGGTAGTCCATCTTCTATAAGCAGCTTCTCTTGACAGCTGTTCTAAGTCTTCTCAGCTGACTTCTCAAGTGTCTTCTCAAAATGTGTTTTTTCATATCTCTTCTTATGCATAAAATCAGGGTATTCTATGTAGTGACCCACCTCTACCTTAGGTTGAGAAACCTAAAATCCATATTTTTGTCAGATATGACATAAAGAGGCCATAGATAATTGTCCTGTAGTTCTCAAATAGTATTTTGATTCAGACTTTTCCAGAAATAAGCTGCAAAGTCCTGAGAAGAGTAGTATTCAAACTAGCTGCTGGGAAACAATGTATTACAGCCATCTCTAACATCAATCTTGAATTATTTCTGCTTCTGCACTGCTTTCATTCAGTTCTTCTCAGTGCTTCTATCTAAGGAAACACTTTCTCTCAAGTCCTTAGACTTGTATGTGTTTCTCTTCAAGCTACTTTACTCTCTTTCTCATATGAATATACTTTTTCTGCCCCTGTGAGTAAATAAATTGTTCATACAAGAAAGGTGCAGTGTACTGTATTTCTTTATACAAACTTCCCTTATAATAATCCTGTGTGCCTTGTGGATGGTACTTGGTGATTGACAGTACATTATTGGGACTTGAATAAAATAGCTATGCCAAATAATTTTTTTCTGACCTTTTCAGTGTGAGTGGACCAGGTAGCAGAAGGACAAGAAAGATCAGCTTGACAACTCCATGGTAACTATTTAGAGAATATTGAGATGAATAATGTGAAAACTCTTTTCAAGATTTGGTTAAATATGTCGTGTATGTATTAGTGTTGGCCTATGTAGGCCCAAGTAAACCCTTTATTGTAAATACCATGGCTACCTTAGAAGGTTTGAAAGCAATTTCATACCAAGAGAGTAATGATCATCAAAAATCTGTTACATTCAACAGTAGAAGACTTACTAATAGACTCAGTATCCCATATACAAACTAAAATTCTTGGCTTTGTAGTAGGCTATCAGTAAGAAAATCAAAGACTACGTATATGGATTGACATTTTGTCCAGTGCCAGGTTAGGTACTGCTTGCCAAAGATGGGTAGTGGAACTAGTTAATTACAAGTTTAGTGTATACTATAAACCAGGAAAACAGAAACACATATTGACTGAAATTAGAGAAGGTTTCAGTACCTTGTTTCCTAGCAGCTCTTTTGAAAATGACTGTTGTTTGGACTTTGGAGCTTATTTCTGGGAAACTCTAAATCAAAGACTGGGAACTATGAAACAGATGTCTATGATTATATAATTATCTATGAGAAATGTGGAATTTGAGTTTTTCAACCTAAGATAGAAGTGGGTCACTACTAATAAGGAGACTCTGATTTGAGGCATTGGATGCTAGATCAGAAATTGGATGAGAAACCATTTTCAAAAGACATTGAAGAATGACTACATATTGACTTAGAAAATCACAAATCACAAGCATTATATTGTGTTGTATTTTTATTTGTTTTGTCAAACATTTCTCAATTACATTTTAATCTGGTTCTTCTATAAGTTTGACAGCCCCTTGCCCCACCCCCCAGGACTGTTACTAAGTAACTTGTAGTAGGGTCAAACAGACAGTGTGTATTAGAGGCAGGGCTTGGATTCAAGGCTTCCTGGCTAATAGGCCTGGTCTTGCCATAATATGTTGAGAAGCCTTTCACTGAATGTAATTATATACAAAATTATATTAGTTGTATTAGTGCTTCCAATTTTTCCACCTAGCACTTAAACATATCCCTCTTATAAACAATTAAATGCTAAGTAAATGTTCATTGATGGATTACTAACTCCAGGACTATGAGTTCCACAAGAATTCTCCCTGGACTTATAATTACTAGCATTTCTATTCGGACTGTCTCCTGCACCAAACTTAGAAAAAAAATCAGATCTAACATTTGTGAGGTATAATCTCTAGAGATGCACCTCTGACTCTTCTAAGTTAGCTCCCTCAATAGTAAGGTAGAAGGCAAAGTTCATGTTTTCTAAATGTCATAACAATAGTAAAGAGCAACGCCCAAAGCACTGGTCTCTATTTTGAATTTCATGGATGGGGAGGAATTCAAAAAGTAACTAATAGCTTGGATCCAATTTTCAAAACCTAGAAAGGATATTCAATGGCTAAGCAATGTTGAAAGATTAAAAGGTATCAGTAAGTCTAATCATTATTTAGAATCCCAAAAGGCTATCCACTTGTACTACAATCAACCTCTAATACTCATTCAGACTAGATTTCTTCCATAATGAAACCATGTCCCATATTTAGCAACACATTCTTATGAGATAAATTATATTTTGTTCTCCTACACATTTTGATGTTACTTATTCTGAACAGGACCACAAGTTGATTTTAGAAATAGAATTCTACCCCCAGTGGCCAGTATTTATAATTACAGCACAGCAAGACAAAAAAGGTTAACAAAAGTGGGAAAGTGGGACAAAGGTGAGAAGATTGTCATGCTTTAGCATAACTATTAGTGGTAGTGGATTTTTTTCTTAAATAACAGAATGTTGTATGAATTTTTCAGAGGAGTGAATTCTGCTGAGAAGTTAAAGCAAACAAGAGGTGGGACACAGCTTGAGATCTAATCAGAATTGAGTGCAAATAGTTATGTAGCTAGAAGGGTAAAAAAGAAATGTGGGAAAAAACAATCAGAGCCTGGGAAGAGAATACCTTTTTTTACATGTAGGAGGTCACAAAACTACAATAGATTATGTGTAAACCTTGGAGAACTATCATTTGTAAAATATTGGTATCAAAACATTTCTTTGTTTTTGGAGCTCCAGAATAAAAGTATGAACATAGACAATGTAGGCTCCTATGTGAAAATTATGAAAATTATGTGCTTTTTTGTTTTGTTTTAGTTCATAAATTTATTTTAATTACATTACTTATAATATCACAGTCCACTTTACAAGTTTATGAAGACATATGAAACATGAAAACTAAATGTGATATTGGAAAATGAACTCTATACAAAAACAGGAGGGAAAGAAAGAAGTGGAGCCAATGGGGGTGAGGGAAGGAGAGGAGAGAGGATGACATTTACAAGGTGGGTTCCTGGTTAATGTTCATCCAGATGTATTTATACCTGGAAAGGGATTTCAACTCCTTTCTTTGTCCTGTTCTGGGATTGGGGAGTTTGGTCTGGTCAGTAGATGTTAGTCACCAGGTAGGAAAGAGCCATCTGGCTGTCTGTACAGGTGGTTATCTGGTGGTTACAGATGTTTTGTTCTGTTTTGTTTTGTTGCCAGAGAGGGAGTTAGAGGTGGTGGTGCCAAAAAAAAAAGGTGTGTGGAGGACAGTAACAGTTCCCTTCCCCTGGAACCAAAATCCTGGAAATACACACACACACACATCCTTTACTCAAACACAGAAAAGTCTCACTCTGGACACATTTACAAGGACGTCGTCATCAAAGAACTTGGTTTCCTTGATAATGTTCCCAGTTAAGACTTTTGCTGGCATCATCTGGGACTCTGGCACTGCCTCCATCAAGGACTGCCAGGTGTTTGTGGAATTAAGAATCATGAAGTCTGAATTTGAAGAATCACTCTTTTAGGAAATGCCCTTTAAAATAAACTTTTTGTTCCAAAGGATAGATCAAGATTAGACTTACCAATATATCCACTAAGCAAGTCAGTCCCCAGAGGTCAGCTTGTAATATCTCTGCCTCAGGGTTCTAGAGGTACACGTGAGTGGATATTAGGTTCTTTCTAATGCTATCAGCTCCCTCAAGATGGGGGGAAAGGAGGAGGAAAGGAATAATCATTTTGCTACAGCACTTACAATGTGCTAGGCACTGTGCTAAGCACTTTACAAATATCTTACTTGAAGTGCTTTTATTATCCCCATTTTACATTTGAGGAAACTGAGGCAAATAAAGGTTAAGTGGCTTGCCCAGGGTCATACAGCTAATAAATATCTAAGGCCAGATTTGAATTTCAATTGCCAGTATTTACGACCCCATTTCATTTGCCAATGCTATTTGGCACCTCTCCAATATTATTTAACCAGTTGATATCCTTTCAATGTCACCAATGAACAATTAACATCAATTAGCTTTTACAAAGAGATATTTAGTAATATGTATAATATATATATATTTTTACATACATGTATGTGTGTTTGTGTGTGTGTATATATCAAGAACCAAATTAGGGAACATTCTTTCCTCCACACCTCAGTTCTTAGGGAGAGTAGATTCAAACTAATGCAGTAATTACAAACATTCTATCCACCACCAAATACACTCCTGAATGTAGCACAGGAAGGATTATTTCCTTGCCTACAGGACAGTGTTTCTGCTGCAAGGTAGATTGACTTTTGGTCTGGGACACACAGATTGTTCCTTGGGACTGTGCTGGTTCCTCACCTGACTTGGCAGCCACAAGTTACTTAATGCAGTTATTTTTACCTCTACCTTATCTCTCATATCCTTCTCTCCATTCACATAGCCTGCCTCCAATTTAAGACCTCCAGTAAGGCAAGAATGTCTCATGACAACCTATTCTGCTTCTAGAGAAATCTAATTGTTTGAAAGCTTTTTGCTGCCAAACCTGAATTGAACCTTTTGGCAATTTCCACCTATTGTTCATTGGTATACATTCTAGGATCAATCAATCAACAAGTATTTATTAGGCACCTACTAATGCACCAGGCACTAAGCTGGGCACCAGGGATACAAATACACAGAATAAAACAATAGCTAGCTTATATTCTAACCGAGGAGCCGTACATCCAGAGTATAAGTATATCCAGAGTAAACATAAAGAGAATAAATACAAATTAGCTAAGTTAGTGAAATTAGGGACAGTAAGGCAGTATATTCAATAGAGTACCAGGCCTGGAGTCAGGAAGACCTGAATTCAAATCCATCCTCTAATATTTACCAGCTGTGTGACCCTGGACAAGCCACAATTTCTGTTGCCATCAGTTTCCTCATCTATAAAATAGGAATAATAACAGCACCTACTTTGCAGGGAAGATCAAATGAGATAATATTTATAAAAAGTGCTTAGCACAGTGACTGGTACATTGAAGACACTGTATAAATACTTGTTCCCTTGCCAATTAAGAAGATAGTTTTCAGCCTTTAAGGTACAGATCCCTGTAGAGTTTGGGCTTTTCCCGAGCGATTTCACATCTTTGGAAATGGGATGACAAAATTCTGGCTATGAGGGCTGCCTTAGCTCCTAATAGTCTTTTTAGTGGGAAAAGAAAGTAGCAGGACAATGTCAGTGGATCCAGAACCAAAGAAGGAATGTGTATAGTTTAGGGAGAGAGGAATATATCATACTATCTCTCATTTTTATCCCATGATAGGCCCACATTCTAACCATTGATGGCCTCAATAATGTCTATTAGTCTGCTTCTTGAGTATTGTAAGTCATTGCTGCCAATTGCTTATGTTCTCCATGATTCTTCTCAGCTCATGTCATAATTTTAACTCTTCAAAGAACATTTTGCCCCGCAATTCACATCCATATAGTATCACTGAGAGAATCTGGAGGTTAAAGAGATGACCTTCTGCAGAAGAAAACTGGAATTACTGAAAATGTTGTGAAATTTCCCAAGTGCAATTCTAGGCCCAGTTTATCTATTGGAAACACTTGTTCCTAGGCCTTCTAATAGCAGAGGGGAAAAAATAAGATGAAAGTGATTCCTAAAGAGCTTCTGGTACCTTTTAAGGAACTCTTTTCTAGC